GCCATTTGTTGGCGTTTAACTTGACTAACTGGATGGTCATTTGTCCACTCACCAATTCATCATCACTGGTCTACTCTACCCTTATCAAATTTGCCCACTTATATCGTATTAGCGTAGCTGAATTTAAGTGCCCTCGAGAATCATTGTCGTGACTGTCCTAACCGAGCTGCACTTAACTCCTATCGGCCTTAATCTAAGATTCATTCTTTTATCATACGCACTCACATTCTCACATACAAGCGCTCTTCATTTATTCACCAAAATTTATTTAGTGCCCCTCGAAATCCCTCCGATAGTGTTAGGTGTCTGGCAACAATAACCTCCCCGGCGAGATAAATGTCTCTCTTATGAATCCATGTGTGCTCCCGCTAACCGGTGGCCAAGCCACAGGGCCGTCCAGTATTGCATGCAGATAATTATTCACCTTTGTAATTTAGTCGGATCCACAACACGTCCAATAGACTTATGATGCGAATTCGCGAATTACACCCGGCTGGTTTCCCTTTTGAGAGAGCGCTAGGCCTCGCGCTCCCTCCGGTCCACGTCCTGGAATTTACCGTTCACGTCCTGGGACCATAGTTCACGTATCCATGTCCTGGAACTATCTGCCTGGAACTCATCTGGTTCCGTGGGTCTTACGTTACCAGGACTCACGAACTCCGAGGGGGGACTCTCCCGGTCCCCAGAGGCTGTCCATCACCGGATGTGGCCGGAAACTCCTGGCTCATGCCGATGATCAAGATGCAGATAAGTATGATGACTTCCTGGGACATACGGCTTCCTGCACCACCTGTGGATGACTTACCAGTGACCCAGCACTTCACCATTCCTGATGGATCCTTGACTTCCGCTGGGATCCGCCGTCTCATGCCTCTGAGCCTGCCTACCTTTGCCCACTAAATAATCCTGCGGGAAGCCAACGACAACCGCGGTATCACCACGGTGGGTAACGTGAATAGCTCTGCTAAAGACGATGTGCTCCTTACCTTACATTACCGGTCTGGACTAATTTCTCAGGAAGTTCTGTGTCTAAGTCATGCTAGTCAACATTCCGACATAAGAGCCGGGCAAACAAACCCTCTCCTCATTTAGACTCCGGCTTATTGATCTAAGATAGTCAGCTTGCAATATACCTTGTAGCCACTCGAATATGACAGATAGAAAGGTCAAATGTATCATCTTGAGCCCTTAAATTTTCGTCAATCTTTGTCGGGTGAAATGATTGTCACCAGCAACCACAAAACCACGAGTATTCAGGTTCGCTAAAATATAAGCCCCAACAATTTCACTGATATTGTTTACCTGGTCTGAAATAATCTGCGTCAATAAATCTCCCATAAATTACGACCGAGAGCCGACGGACCGTCCTGTCCGCCGCCAGCTCTGTCCCACGACTAGTGATGCAAACAGTACGCCCGGACTGCCCATGATAAACGTCATTTGATGGCTATGCGCTCGATAATTCCACGACATTACGACGACCTAGTGACATTATGATGACCCAACATCTTTGAACAATTTACCACGTTAGTTCCAAAATTGCATGCCTCGAGTAATTGAATTCCTTAACAGCTGAATTCTGACCTGAATTTGCAGTCCTGAGCCCATAAACCTGGGCGGCCCACCGCCGCGCCGCTTCACCCGTCGGAATTAACAGCTGGACCAAGGCCGATCAGACACCGTGTCATGCTTCTTCTGCTCTTCGTATTCGGTGTGTGTGTGTATCTAATGTAAACCTCTATACTGTAGTGCGAACTCCACGAAACACCAGAGTGGGAAAGCGTTGATGACATCTCGACGGATGATCTTATTGACCCTGTGGCCAATCACCCGTTTCCAAATTTGTAAGAGTTCGATCCTTCCCACTATGCCCACAACAGAACGTTTCATAGCTTTAGTGTGTATTCTAAATTAAACACGTTGAATTTAAATACAGTCTAATTAATGTTCCAAGTCAAGACGCTAATTCAACAGAATACCAATAATAAATGACTTACGCCTAACCGGTTAAATTGTAACTTTGTCTTTGACAGGTTCGTACAGAAACTAACAGCTTCATTATTAACCCGCTAAGTGGCGCAGCAATACCAGCTCACATCACTGTAAAAGAGACTGAAACCACGCCCTGAACTCTCACAAACCCAACTGAACGTCACTGTTGAACATAAACACACTGAGAATCCCATTGTAATCCTAGTCTGCAAATGGTAAGCTGGAGATCCTAACAATGACATGTACGCACTCGTGAATTTTCAGCTAAATCTCGATCACCTATAACGCAGCTTATCCGGTAGTAAGACCCCAAGAACAAAACCGCAATACAGCTTTGCACCAATGATTTCTGGCGATCGCGGAGAGTGGAGACCACAACTAGAATTGTCTGGACCGACCGTATAAATCAAAGCAATTTGCTATTAGCTTGACAACGATCATTGGAGAGATCGGGCAAGGCGTGAACCAGGGGGGGGGGGGGAGATAGGATCAGGGAGAGCAGACTTTCGAACATTCAGATTGAACACTCACATTAGCAGCTGGAGTGTGACGTCAACCTCGGCAGTTGCACTTGCGTCCTTTCTCGTCGACGGCTGCTGTCCTGCGTCTCCATCACTCGAAGCACTAGCAGAGAACTGGAGCAGGACGATTGCAGCGATGCGGCTAAACTGGCCCGTCTCCCGGCGGCATGGCTTCTCGGGCGCGGTGATCCCGACGCGACTGCGGCGGTCCCACTGACTCGGTCCTCCCGTCCCGGTCTCACTGTCTCGGTCTGACTGCTCCGGTCTAACTGATCTCGAAGTAAGCGGTCCCTTTTTTATAGTTGGGTCGGGGTGGCGTCGCCCTCTCCTGACCTGGTTCCGGGTGCTGGCTCCGATTCAGGTGCACTTCTTTGTCTTCTTACTGCGGTGGTTTGAGGGCGTGCTCGGTTTTGCATTTGCAACGGCCTTTCCAAAATGTGTGAAAGCATTTGAATGGGCATTAGATGGCACAATTCTTCGGTTCCAGTCTTCAACGGCGAACGATGCCCGTTATTGTTGATCTGCGCTTGTTTCTGATAAAGCGGCTTGAAATCGAAATGCTTGTTTACAGTAGGCAGCCCGCAACCATTTATCCTTTGTAATGTTGTCTCTAGTTTCCGTTACACTTGCTCACTCACTCGTACTCTAGGTGCTGTACCTCTTGTTCAGATGCTCCTCCGCCACAAGGACTTGCTTTCCGAGCTCATGAGCTGCTAGCGCAATGACTTCCTCTGGATATCATTTAGACAGTCTATATTCCAAAAACGTCCTTGCTGCACTGGTCGTTGCTGGAATGCTATATGGTGGGGTCAGGCGATAAAACTATTGCGACTTTCGGATTGCTTGGTGATCAAGTTGATCTGAATTGCAGCTTTGTGCAACGTCCAGTATTGAGTCGATTTTTTTGCATAACTGCATTCTTGCATGGCTTTATCATATTCCCTTCCGGTTGGTGCTGCCCTCAGGTGACGACGTCCGTAACGAACGGTGACCCGCTTGGTCTCCGCGTCTCTTTCTTCCGCGTTACCTCGCTCTGTGCTGCTGTCCTTTCTAAATTATGGGCGGCCGGTGTCGATAGGGACGTGGGACACGGGAAAACAAAGGAAAGGGTCTCTACGGAACGCGGCCAGCGTGTCCGGATCGGGCAGTAGTCGGTCGTGCCAGGATTTAAAGTTTACAGCTAATAGTAAACTAATAGAAAAGATGTAGCCCGCTATATATATATATATATATATATATATATATATATATATATATATATATATATATATATATATATATATATATATATATATATATATATATATATATATATTTGTGTATTTTGGCAATATATTTTCTTTAATACACGTTTGGTTAAAGACCAAGGCATATTTGCATTTCGTTATCTTCTTGTTGTTCTGTTCGATTGATCGTAATGTTCGTTTTGTCGCATCAGGTAAAGAAAATATCAAAGTCGAGAAGTTCGACATTCACTACATTATCTGTATTGGTCACTTTCAACGTTTCGGAATAATTCCTATTCCATTTTCAAGAAATTAAACATGTTCGATCGTATCCATTGCTTCAACAAACAAAACAATGCAGTAATGAATGATGAGGTACAGTAAACATACAAACATAGGCGTTGTCATGGCTACACTTATATATATATATATATATATATATATATATATATATATATATATATATATATATATATATATATATATATATATATATATATATATATAAACTTAAATCCCTGGTAGCTGCTTCATACACAGCTGTAGGGATTGTGCTAAGAAAAAAAGAGCATAAAATGACTCAGCATAGCATATTTGTTTTAGATAATTGATTGATGTGGATTATTGCACAAAAAGTAGCAAATTTCCGAGCGTAAGGGCCACTGGAATTTCGGGTTTCTAAGTACCATGTTTTCTTTCAAGTTTTTGGTCTTCGCGGAACAGAAAATTTGGGATTTCGATGTTTCGTACAAACTTTTTTCTTGTAAAATAGTTTGTAAATTGTTAACTCAAAATTCATGCTCGGAGGTTTCTTGAAATCCAAACCTCAAATGTTGGTAATTATTTCTTGTTAACAGACGTTTTTCCTTGGTATTTGCAAACAAAAGTTTTTTCTCGTAAAAACGGTTATTTTTAGTTTTTTTTTCTGCGGCGCTGTTACTCTATTGGTTGCCGAGACATGTGGCGGTGTTTCGAGAAATGCTGAAATAGGCAACATTTTGCTTTTGATGACCTCTGGTGACCTGACCTTCGGCCTGACCTAGAAAATGGCCGAAGTGTTTTCGTTCGTCTTTATTTTGGACGTTCTTTCGAATACCGCTTACCGTTAAGTGACCTAGGAGCGAGTTAGAGGGGGGTGTTCAAACACCCCCAGCAGGCCTTGGAAATCCGGGACCCCCAGCGGGGTGCGTATCAATGTTTGACCAAACGGCTTGTGATTTGAGTTTGGTGCTGCGTATCGCAAATGCCGTGACGGTCCTGGTCTTCCCGCAGATAGTTTTCTGAAGGATGCCGGCTCCGGTGCTGCTGCTGCTGCTGCTTCTGGCGACAACTCTTGCCGACCAGGACATGGACAAGGCCGTCTTCAAGGCGCGCGTAGAGGTGTGTAGGTGCCCCACTAGCCAACTAGGTGACCCAGAGCCGCGCTCTTGTACTAGTATCCCTCTAAATGGCGTGTTATATGACTTGCCCCCCCCCCCCCCGAAGAAGACGTTCCCAACTTTTAGCCTTCAACGCAGTGTTACTTTTGCTGGTAACTGTATGGTAGGTGTAAAATTTATAAAATTCAGATGATTGTAAGTTTTGTCGCAATCGACAGCTTTCCCGATCTCGTCGCGAAAAACCGAGGGAGAAGAGGTCCATCCAACCTCCTTATAAGCAGGGTTTCGGAGTCGTGGTAGCGCTTTTCCGACTCCGACTCCGACTCCGAGCTCCGGGTGACGGGTCGGAGTTGGAGGGACAAGTGATAGTCGGGTGACAAGTGATACGAAGCATTGAAAACGACACTTTATTAACCCGCGCCCTGCTGGGAGGTGTTTGAACACCCCCTCCGGCGGCGGCCGTTTTCGGCACACCTTATGCATCTTTTTTTGCAATTTTTTTGCTGAGGGGCCATGTCGATGCCTGAGGGCCGCACTCTGATTCCCTAGGGCCCTACGGTGATATCCTTGGCCCCATGCCGATTCCCGAGGACCCCACGCCGGTATCCGGGGGGGGGGGGCCATGTCGGTATCCGAGGGCCTCACGCCGATACAAAGGGGCCCCATGCCGGTGGCCGAGGGGCGAGGCCCCCTGCCGATTCCCGAGTGCCCAACGCCAATTTCTGAAGGATTCCACGAATAGGTACGTTTTGGGTAAGGCCGATCTCGAGGGCCCCATTCGGGACTCTAAAGTGGCCTCAACTGCCTGGCCGGCGTTGGGGTCTAGAACCTGGCAAGAGGCCTGCATGGGAGCTAAAGGCCGGCAGAGTTTCTAACTTGAATAGAGCGCGAATCGTTTTTAAATACATAAAAGGAGACTTATTTTAAAAGCATGTAACCTTTGATGAGAAAGAATATGACGGCGCATTTAGACAGTTAACCCGCGCCGGGCCGGTGCTCCGCGACTTCCGCGCCGGGCCGGGGGGGGGGGGGGTCTGAACACCCCCCGTCTAACTCGGCTCCTGGGCCACGTAGCGACACGCGGTAAGCGGCATTCGAAAGAGCGTCAAAAATAAGGACGAAAACTTGGGTCATTTTTTGGGTCAGATCAAAGGTCAGGTCGCCAGAGGTCATTAAAGGTCAAATGTTGTCTATTTCAACAATTTTGGAAACTGCCAACGGCTACCTCGGGAACCAATAGAGCTACAGCGCTGCGAAAAAGCTCATACGATAGCCCTTTTACAGACCTTTCTGAGTACTGTTCTCAGATTTGACCCCAGGTCAATGGTTTAGCCTCCAGAGGGCAAAAACTGTAAAAATAGCAGTTTTCACGAAAATGGTTTTTCGTCAATTACTTTTGACTCAAGAGAGCCACGACATTTCTTTTGGCAGCATCGTGTTCCTCTCGTCGAGACGCTTCGAATGAACTATTTGTTGACCTTGAAAGGTCATTTTGAAAATTTGACCTCAGGTCAAGGTCATGACCTGACTGGAAAGGGTCATGTTGCATATCAGTCGATCCGTGTCGTCGAGCTGAATACATGTCGGCCCCCCTATCGACCCAGTATCGCAGGCGAGCGCCCCCCGTGGGAAGTGAAGAGCGGGGTCACCATCAGCCTGGACGTGGGACCACTACCACTGAATGCGACTTCCACACAGAAGAGAGACGCGGCGACCTGTCACCTAGGTAGCCTGCCACAGTGCGCGACTTGGGTTTGGTCCGACGCACTATGGTTGGAAACGGCCTCACGGATGGCCATGGGCAATTTCGGAATATATGTATATTTGGGGTGTCATTCTGTTGAAAATTGATTAAATGTTTTCAATTGGGCAGAAAAAATATTTAGCTGCGCATTTAGTGTTCATTATCGTACGTAGAATCGGGAGTTTCTGATAGTGGCTTTTTTGGTGCGCCGTCAGAGGTTTAAACAACCGCGCTGGTGGTAGCATGTGGAGTACCTCAATGACGTTGTAAAACTGGATTATTATATATCAAAATAATCCTTGTTATGTTGGCTATCGAGTGGAGTGACTCTTTTTCCCATGCCTGTTCAAAATCAGGAACGGCATTGCATTCTGTTTGCAGTGTCACCACAGCAACATTTGCAAAATTACGTTTATGTTTCATTGGACATACAAAAAGTTCTCCATCGACCTCCATTGAGCTTTTTGGCTGAACAAATCTCTGTTCAATTCTGCGTGAGGGGAACCTAAAAGCAAACTGCGCACTTGTGCGCAAATTCGTCCATGAAGCTTCATCTCCCGAGGCGTACCTACCCGTCGCTTCGTTAGCAGCAGGTCGGCTCGTCAGTCGTGCAATGGCTTATCCTAATGAATGATGGTAAGAAGCAGGGTTGCGGAGTCGTGGTGGCGCCAAATCCGGTTCCGACTCCGACTCCGACTCCTGTCTCGTTGCCATGACTCCGGGCGACTCCGTCTCCGACTCCGGACCCCTGCCAGTGTTTCGGAGTTGTGATGGAGCTGTTCCGATTCCGACCGACTCCGACTTCCACTACGGGCTCCTGACCGACACCGACTCCGACTCCGACTCCTGGCTCGTTGCCACGACTCTGGGCGACTCTGACTCCGACTCCGACTCTGACTCCGACTCTGACTTCAACTCCGCACCCCTCGTAAGAAGTAACTGCTCGCCCCTGCACCTGGAGTATGGATATCGTGCAAACGTGTATGAATATCCTGGAGTATGGATATGGATATCCACTGACAGAACAGACATACAGACATGCTGTAAACGCCATTACACTGCCACTACCATGGCAAACCCAATGGCTATCTATGATTTTTGATCATCGTTCTACATTTTCCAAAATCTTGAACTGAATCTTGGCAATTTCTCGTGACTACTTCACGACCATGATGCATGCATTTCTGAAATTGATCTTTTTTCAACTAACCACGTACTCGTATGATAAAATGAATGTCACCATCGTGTTCTACGCCCAAAAGTACCCATAAAACATGTGTCATGGGCTGCGAATAGGTACCAGTTTTGATTTTCGGGGTTATGTGCTTACCTGATTGACTTGACTTTGACCCTGGCCTATGTTTGACTGACCCCTACATGGATCTGACACTCTTTTAGCACTTATATGAAGGGTTGTGCACAGTTGTGACAGAGTTTATGACGAGAGGCACCGATTGCGAGGTTTTAAAGTCCATGCTACTGAAAGCCTGATTTCAAGTGTTTGACCTGACCTTGACCCGAACGGTGATCTCGAAATTCAACTTTCAATTATTCATCTGAATTGTCTCGTCGTGTTCTCGTTTGCCGCCTCGTGCGTTTCGCTGCGCCTATTGGTTCTCGAGTTATCGGCTGGGGGCGTTGAACGCCTCCCCCCGGCAAACGGCGGGTGGGGAAATACCCCAGGGCCCAGCAAACTGCCGGGTTAATCAGACGCATTTTTTGTCATTTTGATCGTCATTTTATTTCTTACTTTTTTGCCCAATCTAAAAATAAATCATTAATACTTTTTCTCCAAATTTTTGACCCTTTTTGACAAATAGTAGAACACTGTGCGTCACTACGTTGATATTTCTCGCCCTAAAGCATAACAACAATATCCATTCAGTATAGCAGTGTTCAAAACATAGTTATAGAAGACATAATTGAACACCAGCTATTAGGTACTTTATTTAATGGGAGCTTTCGAAAGCTATGCAGCTTTCTTCGTCAGCCTTGGTACAAAACACTAAAACAGATCCATATGAAATTGAACAGTTACATTAGACACCACAAAAAGCGAAAATGGCGCATCTGGATATTTTTTTTTAAAGTATCCTTTTTCAAAAAATATCCAGATGCGCCATATTCTTTCAAACAAAGACCGTTAAATGAAATAGCGTTTTCACATTTGACAAGTTTCTTGTGTGTCTTTATAAGCTTATTTACTGTTTTTTTAAGATCATTAGAAAGAGAAGGCAAAATAGATCCAAGGCATTAGATCTAAGGGGAGATGTCATTAGGTATATTTTTACCGACGCGTTTCGAATGTAAACATGACACTCATTTTCAAGGTACAGTAAAGCCCGTTGTACACGGGCAACTCTCGTCGGCAACTCCCAGCAATCGGTTGCTCGGCGACAGCCTTTTCTGTTGCTCTGGGTTGCTGAAGTGCTGCCAAATGCTATTCAGGGTTGTTCAAAAATTGCCCAATATGTCGGCAACATCCGACGATCGCCGACGGTCGCTGAGCGTGACGTCACGATAATTATAACCAATGGACGAGCTGTTGCTCTCGATCGCCGAGAAGTTGAATATTTTGAACTTTCTGGCTGTTGCTGCGGTGTTGCTGGCTGCTTCTGCTGTACGAGCATGCAGCTATGGAGCAGCAAATACAGGGTGGGGCAGCATAATCGGGAATAAATATCAAACGGGATTATTTGGTCATGAATTTAAAAATATAGCTCCAAGCACTATTTTAACAACATCCCATCAATCGGTCACCTTTTACCTATCCCTCATCCTATTTGACCGCCCTTCGCGTCGATGACCTTCTCAAGGCGGGTCCAAAAGCACGCGCATGCACGTGCAACCTCCTGCTTGTCCATGATCGCCCATCAGCTTCGTACCTTGCACTGAAGACCGTTTTTACTGATGATAAGTTGTTCATTAAACTTCTACCAAAAAACGCTCCATATAAAGAATTTGGTCGGATTTAAATCGGCGGAGTTGAAGGACCAGAAGTTTTTGGTTCATCTCAGGTGGAGGTGCCCTACACAATAACATGTCGTCCTCACTGCAGTACCAGCACGGACAGAGTCCTCGTAAGACGTGATCTGGACCGTCAGTGATCCTCTCTTCCGACGACTCCACGTGAGTCTGCCAGAGTGTGGATGTATTTACCAGAGGTGCTCGTTTTATCCGGGCTCGATGAAGTAGGGTGCACCACGTGCACCTCCCTTGAAGACCACCCATAGGTCCATCACCTCAACAGGATGTTT